CCCATCAAGCACCTGCTCTGCATTCCCTCATCACCGCACTCTATTTAGACCTGGCCAGCTCTCCAGTCCTTGCCGGATTGTTGTGTTACCTGTGTACGCTTCACACCACCACCTGCCAGCTTCCCCAACTTCCCCTTCCCCAACAGAACCCGGACCCAGCCAACCCCCCTCTGCTCATTCGTCCCTGTCAGTATTGTTGTCCTAATAAACCTCTAAACTTTCATCATCAGCTCCAGTCTGCTTTTGGGTACTGTTTCGAACCCTGACATTATCATGTAGTTAAAACGACCCAGTTAGTTAATACAGTACCAGTTAAACTAGCCTGTGCTTCCAAACCCTGCATAACCAACTGCATTATCACTTGGCTTAACTCAGTATGTGAATATGTAAAACTGGCATGCAAGTACAAAAAAGTGTAGCAGTTAAAAACCCCACTCCGCCCCGCCTACTTGCCCCATGTATTTTGGCCGTAATTGATGGTGTCAGTAGTCTTGTACCACAACATGTGCCCTTATAGCTTTATACCTAACTTCAGTAGAACCACTACTGCCACAGTCACCTTTCCCTAGTTTATTACTGACAAATCAAACATCTCTCTGTTGAAAAATCACTAAGTTGAACCTAGCTAAATCAGCCCAAGGAATTTGGATTAGTATTTGTTTACATTGATGCAGCATTTACTCGCCTTTATGCTAGACTATTCAACATGATTGATTAACACTGTCCTTTCATTGACACCCAAATTTGACTGCGAGGAAAGGGACGCATTGTTTAATAAGGTTCAGCACTAATACTGCTGATTATGCTGGTGGCCATTAGGTCTTTCTCAGGGATAAATGGATTGGTACCATGCCAGGGAACATACATTATTACAATACAGGTTGGTACAACCTGTACAAATTGTACTGTGGTGCACCTTTGTTTTCATCGTACACCTATAGACTTTAGATAACAAATTCAAAGCACTGACTTTTCCTTCATTTGTACATTTACAGTACAATGGGCCTGCATTTTAGCTAATTGTTGGTCCTCACAAAACCTATATGGTAAACATTATTTCATTTATTTATGTGTATCCTCTTTACCTCTTTGATTTAACACGGATCACACACAAGGTGGTCTGGATGTAATTTTACTCAACGTGCTAATTCAAATGGGTTATCATTGTTAAATAAGCCTCTGAAAATATATATATATTTTTTTTTTACTGTTTCGCAAATTGATTCAGGACTACACAGAAGTGAGTGTATTGTAGGATCTTTGTTATTTACAGTAAGGTATAGAGAAGATGACCTAGTTAAAACCAAATGTTTATATGCAGTTTCTACCAAACCTTTTATAAATTGAATTAACTTTACTTTTCCAGAAATGTCAGTGAATGAGAGTACAATTAAATTTACCTGGTTCCGGTTCCATCGGTACGTCCATGGAAGACACAGGTGCACTGAGATGGACAGAATGGATGAGCCATACTGAGGCAGCATAGGAATACATGCACGTAGAGAAGTCGACGCATGATTTCACCAAACGCAGCCACAATTCTCACATTGAGAAGAGATCAGGAAAAAAGACATCCGGATTCATTGAGAGCCTGAAGAATTTTTCTTCCCCAAAAACAAATGGAGAATAATGAAAAGAGCCTTCAAAGTCCATAGGAGATAACGGTACACAGGCTGAAGATCTAATTACAGTACAGGTGACCTGTTAGATTCTGTGGGGGAGGGGGTGGTGGATTAGTGGAGGATTTCTTGGGGCTGGCAGGGTCACGCACGCTAGGCAGCGGGACAGGACTATTCCTTTGGACATGGCGCTAATCTGCTAATTCTGGTGAGGTTTCCCCTCACGTGATCCAGCCACACCTTTGTTAATCCATTCAGTTACCAACCTCATCACTGCTTTTTAACTCTCAAGTTTTAAGATTTAACTCCCAAGTTTTGCTGAATGTTCATGCCCTCACCTGTGTCAAATTCGCTGGAAAACTTTAAAAATAAACATATTACAAATACAGCTGGGATCAGCCCTGTGTAGTTATATTTAATCGTCTTTCCCTCGTAATACCAGGCACTGTGGCTGCTTTTTGACTGTTTTTCTGCACTTGTATTCTGACGTAAGCCTCTGACTCTCAAGAAATATGTTAGATGTAAATGTATTATTTAGCTGGAGGCCATGAATAAGATGTGTGAGCGAGTTCTGTCTGGCACTAGGGTGCAAAGTGTAATCTGCGATGTGATTTATTACCTGACCACTGGCTTAGGATAGGGGGCCAAACTCAACCTGCTACCGACAACCGCTCCACAGTAGTGTATCCCTTTCATATTTTCTGCACACGTTGGTTTAGCATGGGCACACACAGCTTTTGCTGTATTTTCTACTCAGTATTTGTTGATAGAAATGTAAACGTTCTGTGTTTCTGTGATGGCATAGCCAGTGACCGCATCCCTATCATTTAAGTTTTAATTATGAGACTTTATAAACACAGCTTTGGGATTAGGCATCTATCTTCATTTGTTTGTTTTCCCAGATCATCAGGTCAGTTGTAAAACAACCATATTCTTACTGTATTAATGTTAATGACATAAAAGTGTTTTATAGTGCTTCATAATCTTACTTATATCAGATATAATACCATTAAGTAGAAGTCTAAATGTTTGGCTGTCAACTCTTTAATTGGAACGACTAAGAATCACTTTATCTATTGGAATAACTAAGAAAAGGAGACATCTAGTGGTATGAGGTTGTTACTGAGTGTATTTCCCTTTGAGAAATACAAAAATAAATACAAAATAGTAATCCATTTCTTGACAATCTATTCCGTCTGACCATATTTCAACGGCTCACCTGATGGCTGTTTTACAAATCCCACAAATTCTATAATACGACCACGGAGGATTTCTAAATATCAAAACAAAATGGACACAAAAGACATCAAGTATTTATGAACAAGTACACAAGTGAGTTTTATTAATGCAAGCAAATTTGATCGTACAGGTCAAATAAGCCACTTCAAGCTGTTGGCACATGAATGTACAAAACAGATTCAATTTAAAGCCTGCTACTAAGCATTCGTAGTGAAAATACAAAAGACTAATACGAGGAGAAGCATTTTTTCAGGTCATTACAGATTAAGCAATGTTGGTACAAGTATTAGTTTAAGACATGGTTGAGAGCTCTTCACAAACTAAATAGACACAACTCAAAGACTACAGTCTCTAATATCAGTAGCATAACGCGGTAAGCATGGGAGGTTTAGTACTGCACATATAAACAAAGGGTTGATCCAGCAAGACAGTCAGCAGTGTAAAAATAAAGAAGTGAAATAAAATAACTTTTGAGTCAATAAGACTATATTAATGCATGTCCATGCCACGAAAAACATCTAAATTCACAGTCTTTACTAACAGTACAGTTATTCAACTTTAAGTTGAACACCAATGCGCGTACATCTAAAGAGAGCACAGAAATGGTCAAATAAGTGCATGAAACTAGCGTTTAGAAATACTGACAAAACAAATTTTGCCAGGCAATGAACTGACAGGCAACCTTTGTAGTTGTATGGCATCAGGATGTGTAAGCAATACAGTTACTGTCATGAACAAAATTACTGTGACACACACTTTTCTCACATCTGATAATTCCACCAAGGAGTGCCATTACACCAACACGTTTTTATCTTCAGGGTTTCTTTTCGGTTGAGACTGATTGATGCAGAGCGGGCTGACCCAAAGGGATCTCTTCCTTTTCTAACATCAATCGTCCTTAAATGTCAGTGCTTAACATATAGGTATGCTTTGATATATCAGTATATACAGTGCAGAGTTCTGCAGAAACAGGAGTCTGGTATTTATAAAGTTCTGCTTTTAAGAAATTAAAAAAAGGGGTTATGAAAGCAAGTTTGCATGTGCTTTTGTTGCTTGTGATTCAAAGACAATGGAATCATTCACAGTCCTAAGATACATTTAATTGGCAAGATTATTATAAAATAACCCATAATTTATTTTTGATCTACTAATTGCCTCCTTGATAGCTATCAAAGTCATTGTTTCCTGTTAAACAGGCTTGGCACATCTAGCAAATATTTGTTTTACTCTAATGATTTGGTATTAATTATTGTCTTGTCTTGCTATTGTATATCTTCAAATAGAAAAACAGATTGATTTACTTTCATGTGAAAGCGGTTTTAATCCCTGGGAATACTGGTATGACAAAGGCTTACAATGCTTCATGGTTGCGTTGTGAGATTTAAAATATTTTCAAAACTAACCACCCGTTCACATACAGTACATAGTTCTTGAACATGAAATCTCCAGACACACAACATGAGAAATGTGCTTGAAAACCCTTTTAAGCCCCTGTTGACCCCCTCAGAAATCAGCAAAAAAATAAATTATGCATGAGAGCAAAATGACACGTAGCATCAAATAGAAATTTAAGAAAAATAAAACAATCATTCGCAAATGATTCAGTAAAAAAAGGGCTAAAATACTACTGCTACTTCTGATTCTACAAACTGCACTAAAACTACTATCAGCACTAAACAACTTGTATCAAGAATAATATAACTGCCATAATGATAATCATAACACCATCCATGAGAGAGGTAAAGGGGCTTTTTTTCATCTGAAATGCTGTTTGTGACTGAGGAGGTTTGTGTGACGTCCCCCCCTCCCCAGACCACATTGTCATATGACGCACCAGTGACATCAGCAGTGGCGAGGGCCCTAGGCGCCATCCGCCCCCCCTCGGGAGGGGATGGTAGAGAGAGACAGATAGAAAGACAGAAGAGAGAGAGAGGGAGAGAGGCCGGAGTGGCAGGGCCAGGCCTCACGCTGGTCTTTATGTGTAGGCGTTGAGACGCTCCTTGGAGCGAGTGGAGTGGATGTCATGAAGCTCCTGCTCCTCCTTCGACTTGATGTCCTCGTACTTCTGCATTCGGCAGGCGTCCTTCACATAGGCCCAGTTGGCAGACAGCACCATCAAGTAATGGATCTGTGTGATGTGGAAAATTATGAAGTGTGAGACACCAATACAAAGCCAGTTTTAAAACACACAAGATCTGTCTTCTGTGGCTTGGGTTCATATTTATTCAGTCAAATTGAATTGTGAAAACCCCTTTTTTAAATCCAAAACAACTGGGAATCACACGGGGAGTATAATCCATTGGATCTTATTAGAATTTAATGTAGACATTATTATTCATTTCAGTTTTATTATTTTTTGTGGATACAAATTTACAACTAAGACAACTAAGATAAAAAATGTTCATTTAAAATGCAATAAATAGACTCTTACAGCTTATTTGGGTAGAGTGCCCATTCAAATTAAGGAGGACATTTCCAACAATCCAGCAGGTGGCAGCATAATGCTAAATGTAATGTTTGGGCTTGCGTTACCATGGCAGCTAAGGTTATAATGAATGTATTGTGCTTTAATGACTGAAGTTGTAACCCAGCTTCCCTTTTCATAAGGAATGACAGTGTCATAGCTGCACGTCTCTTTGTTTCTGATATGCAGAACGACTAATTACACACACTGAAAATAATACATTTTGTTCATATTTTC